AATACCCACTTTCCAATTGATGTCACATTTATAAATCATCGCAAATTTAGGATGAAAATCCAATCAACCACCCATATTTACTCCTTAAATGTAGAGCTTATTACAAGCCACAACTCGTTTAGCTGTCAAATGGAGCTCACATCGGGACTTGTATAATATTCATGGTTTATTACCATACCTTAAGATGGGGGTTGAAGTAGTCGTAGTAATATATCTGCGATATCAGAGTGCCATCCATGATTGTATACCATACGGCAACAAGAAGCTGTGTCATCAGTTGTCCAGTTAATATGCATCCGATAATGTTAAAGATATCGCCTACACCCCATATGGCCAGAAACGGGATTGACATGGCTTCTCCTGATTTCGTCCTATAAAGCTCATAGAATTGTGGAAACCCAACGATTAGCCACGTCAATAGCGAGACATATCCGAGGATATCTGCGGCTGTGTCAGACTGGTACATGGTTTAAACGGAGCTGTTAATTTTTGAGGATGATTCCGATTACAGCGAACAATTATGGACTTCTAGCGAACAATATTTTTCTATAAAACAGATACTGTTCAATTAATACGAGAGGCTGTGCATTGTCAGTATCTTATATACATGTATGTATGTATATTTACAAGTATTTCAAAAGCATACAAGTATGTTGCATGTATGTAGTGTATGTTTTTTTAAATATAGAGAGGATTATAGGTGACTTGTGAATTGTGATCAATATTACGTGACTTCAAACCTGTGAGCAGCCGAGAATATCAGCTTCTAATGCATCTGATTGGTTCATTCGATAGTCTGACTGTCATTTTTCTTTTTGGGGGTTTTTTTAAAAACAGGAAAACAGACCTCTTAGACCAAGTGAGTTAAAGTTAAACGTTTATGCAGAATACAATAGTACCAAAAATACCATCGGGATGTTTATCTATGACAGTATTTTACGTTTAAACGTATAAAATTCATCGTTTTACATATATATGTAGAAAATATAAATAAATATTCACTGCGTCAGCCGTTCAGGCTGCAGTATCACGATTCACGGGTTCAACTCATAACCATATATGGGCAGAACGTTTCTACGGCAAAATGGCCCTCTGGTTAGAATGATTACTGATTAGAGCCTCTCGAAAAATGCCTTTCTCTGCACACACCTTGATGGGAAGCTACAATTTCCAGGGTTGCGACCTGACCGAGGAACACATATTTTTCGATAATAAATATGGCGAAAAATCGGCTTATTATTTTTTTAAAATATAAATATGCACTGAAAACGTTAAATATGAAAAATGAAATATGATATGAAATTTGGAAAAAATACGTAATACGCGTGTTGATTTCAGAAATACGGCAAAATAAAAATATTTGGTATAAAAAAATTGAAATATGCCATAAATATGCCATATTTCCTAAATATGCCATATTTTTAAAATATGCCCTTTTTTTAAAATATGCCCTTTTTTTAAAATATGCCATATTTCTAAAATATGCCATATTTCTATATTATGCCATATTTCTAAAATATGCCATATTTCTAAAATATACCATATTTCTGAATAAGGCATATTTATGAAATATGCCATATGTACAATATATATATATATATTTACGAAATATTTACAATATATAGTATTTCACGGCTGTATTATAAAAATTGTATAGGCATATAGCCTGTATTTTGCAGTTCTATCAAAGAATTTATATAGGCATATTGACTGTTTTTTGTAGTTATATTAGAATAATTATATAGGCAGAGTGGCTGTAGTTTGTAGCTATACGAAAGGAATTGTACACGTGTATAGTAGCTGGTTTATAGCTGATGTAAAATATCGCATATACATTTTATTTTATAAACTATCTTAAGTAATATATTTCGTGAATATATATATTGTACATATGACATATTTCTGACATATACCATATTTGGTACTATATATATATATATATATATATATATATATATATATATATATATATATATATATATATATATATATATATATATATATGTATATATATATATATATATATATATATATATATATACGTATATATGTGTATATATATATATATATATTATTGTCTGTGTATATATATTTGTGTTTTCATGGACGTATATTTCCATATATATAGTTGTGTAACTTCGCAAGTATGCGTGAAAGACCCTGCAATTTAAACTATACCAAATAGGACGAAATAACATCAAAAATTACAAACGCGCACGTTGGACACTCTTTTTGACACTATTGTAATCGGGTGACATCCGAAAAACGGTTTTTCACAATACATGCCAGTTCAATATTTTGTCTCCTGAGCGCATCCTGGTCACATGAGACGTAATCCACATTTGTCACATATCCTGCCAGAAGGGACATTGTGAACTTCATAATTCACAGGCATACAAATAATTGTTCATACCTATCAATAGTATTTTCCTTGAGCTCTGTTACCAATTTCAGAGCTATCGTACCAGTAGTATAGCGTCAGTTGCAATTTAACCTGTTTCCGCTCGATGCTTGTTGGCCACCTTTTTCAATTAAGGTGGCAAATTGAGAATTGATTGATTTCTGGAACAAAAAAAAAGTGGCAAAAAAAAATATTCCAGTTTTATAATTGTGATGTTGAAATACTGACAAGCAATCACATTATTTTTTTCTAAATTAGTATCTATTACTTTTCTAGATACACCTAGATTACACTAGAGATATATTTATCATATACACAAGTCAAACACATTAATCGTTAGTTTATTTGACTTATATACAGTGACAATATAAGCCCGCAAGCCGAAATATACCACCCCAGTGCACAGTATTCAAGTGCAGCTCAATCTGTACATCTTCCTGCTTCACTGTTAAATGATCTCTGTCGAGTTCTATGACTCAGAATAGTAACATTATAAAAATGCGTGGTTAGATGTCATATAACTCATGAATAACATTATAAAAATGCGTGGTTAGATGTCATATAACTCATGAATAACATTATAAAAATGCGTGGTTAGATGTCATATAACTCATGATTTATATATTAGATAGACTATAGACCCTTTACTTTTTTAGTGTGTACATAAACCAAGTGTAAACTTCATATATATGTTCACACTTAGTAGATTACTATGCTACGTTGTGCATATGTGTTGTGCATACACAAGGACTGTTTATCAATGTGTTTGTAACTTTTAGTATTAACTATCGTCACTCATACTAAGTAGCAAGCTATGTCAATACATAATATCAATATGCTCTAAAAAGTATAATATGTGGAAATATAGGAGAAATATATAAATATGAGGAAATTATACAGGAGAAATAAATTTATGTAATATATATATATTTTTAGATAAATAGTAAATATGAAAAATGAACGAAATATATTTTTAGGAAAATAATAAATATGAAATAAATATGCCATATATTTTTCATAAATATGGCATATTTTAGAAAATAATAATTTTCCTAATTTTAAATATGTACATATATTTGTATTTCCTAAAATATAAACTACGTGTATAAAACATTGAAAATATTAATATACACTTTTATGTTTATTTGTATGGGTTCCCTCGGTCAGGTTGCGAGTTGCGTAGGCCATAGTTTGTTGTCGGATTGGCTTTGAGTTCATCTCTCGGAGTCTCGGCTTCATCGGTATATCACTGACACTAAATGCAAGGGCTTTATATGTAGCAGATTATGCATTCCATTTAAATATACTATGTAGTACAGGTCGTAAGAGTCAATTTAACTACCACGCAGGTATCTAATACCAGATCGGAACCGTGCTGTCCTTCCGCTCGTACATATCCATATGACTGGACTGTTAAATCAAAGAAGCATTCGACGCTAGAAGTATCAAAGATAAACATGGACAGTCCCTTCGAACATCGTAGTGCTGGAATGGCACTAAAACATATGAAAGTGATATACTACTGAGGACTGTATAATTACATAGAAGAACTGTAAAAATAAAGCGGTTCGATCGGGTTAATTCCTAAATTTCTCCTCTAACGTAGTCTTTCCCAGGTTTGACGAATTCCCACTAGCAAGCTGCAACACAAACACGCAATCTATCTAACAACCGCATGATCAAAGCACCCAAACACCCTTTATACTATTGACGAGATTTTTAAAACAACTGTATCGAGTTGCACAATTACCACCCTCATATAGGGTCCTGATCATAATCGACGATTTAGATTATTGGCTTAGTAACCCCGTGTTTCGCACTTACCAATTCCCCTTGTTGCTAATGATTGAACGTGTATACAATTTGAGTAAAAGAAAAAACAGTCGTGTACGATTTGGTTTAATGATTTGCAAAATAGCAGTTGTATTTAGAAAATATACAGTAAAGCTTTAATACAGAATTTGCTTAGATTTCAGCTTCCGTTTCTAGATTAAGGCCCACCCCCCGACAAAGTGCATTAAAACCAGCCACTGTCAACATTGGTTTGATCCTGTCCTGTATCCACATCAAAGTATAATGCACACAAAACTCCGACTGGACCTAGTCCAAATCGCGGTATAAAAACACAAGAAATATTCGGAGTAATTGTTGGCTTACTATATAGCTTTACAAAAATACTTAATAAGACGCATATAGAGCAGCCATATCTAGTTACCGACTGGGGAAGCCAATAGAATACACCGACACAACCAAATTCATACTTTGTATGCCAAATTCTCAAAAAAGAAACAGCACCAGTATTACAATTACACCAATCGCGATTTCAAGACAGCCATCATACGACTACACACAATACGACCCCACAATATTGAAATATCATATAGGCATTCGAATGTGCATGACGCAGACGCTCATCTAATTAAAAAATCAGTCAGAAAAACATGCATGACACGCAAATATGATCGACAATTGCCACATGGAATAACATTTCCAAGCTTTTCGGATAATTGTCACGGTAGTGGTCACAGAACTAACACAAAAGCCATTACCTGGACAATAAGAATGCAAAAATCAGATTATTTGCCCATACGAGGCGTTTTCATCAGGTTCAATAAGAAGACCGTCGTGATTGTAATCATCATCTTGTGCATGCTTATTACTTGAGGCGGTATGCGGGCAGATAATCAGAACTTAGAAATATCAGGACACAAACCTCATACTTGACATGCATAACGTACAAACTCCCCACATGTCCAACAAGAAATAACATATCACGACACAAAACACAAATAGTAATAGAACACATATCACTAAACGTCAACCAGCCAACCGATACACAATCTAAAAGTTCCACACACGAACTAGGCTTTTGAAAACACAAGAAAATAAATTGCACCTCTAAATCCTTTACACCACCGACGGGTTATATGTCTATATTTACTCATTTTGATAAATTAAGCGGTCAAGACACAAACACCACCAACAGCCTTGATCTTCTCCTCCGCGGATCTTGAGAAGAACTTGGCCTTGACAATGCAGGGCTGGTTGGGTAGCACACCCTTGCCTAGCACCTTGTAGTAACCGGCACGTACACAGTCGATGACGGGCACCTTGGAGGTGTCCTTGGCGTACTGAGTCTTAGTCTGGTCAGATACCAAAGTCCAGATCTTGTCAAGGTTGACAATGGGGCAGTAATACTGCTGATCCGTCTTGTGATAGTATCGCATACCGACCTTTCCGAAATAACCAGGATGGCTATAATGTGTAACGAGAAGTGAGGCAGTCAGTATTTCTTACTTGAAAAATGCATAACAATTACATATAAAAGCAATTCATATCTCCAGTCAGTATCTGTATGCATTCGTGCAACAGTAATAAGGCAAACTACATGCGTGCCATGATATTGTCAGTCATGTCCACGTATAAGCACAACTTATGTCCGATACGAATGTGTACTACGTATCAGTACAGTTTTTTACTTAATATATAAACTAAAACATAGAGATCATTCCCAAATACAATACAAGTATGCTGGCAAAAAGTGCAAAAGTCGGCCACAGAACTAGATGAGCAGGAATACAACACCAGACGCGCCTAATTCTATAACCAGTAAATCTGGCCCGTTTGAAAACATAAAACAATAAACCATAACATGAAACCTCGCCAGCAACTGACCGATTAATCAGTAAATACGCAGTTCATTAAATATTGATACGTATAGAATTACAATACAATGCACTTACTATTTGTCGAACATAATTCTGTGGTGATGCTGACCACCGGCGTTACCACGACCTCCCGGATGTTTACGGTGTTTACCGATACGACCGTGACCAGCGGACACGTGTCCACGCTTTTTACGGTGCTTCTTTAGGTGAGTAGTCTGTACATGGGTAATTTAACGAAGAGCGAAGTCATATGTTAGCATCCATACATATCCACTATGAGTCTTCTATACACAGAACGTCAACTCAGACACTATGCCTTAGAAGAATGTGAATTATAATAAATATACATACATATACATATGTATATATGTACATACATTATATATATATATAAATATATAAATATATATATATAACTAAATATATATAACTACATATATTTAACTACATATATATATATATATATATATATATATATATATATATATATATATATATATATATAGTAGGCGTGTATTTGAATATGTATGTATGTATACATGCAAGCATATACATGTAAATATGTATATATATTTATCACTTATGATACAATAAAAATATACATACATACGTGTATATAATATATATTGTTTTGTATGTGCATATACATATCTATATAATCTTGATCGGCGTGTCTGTCGTGGTCTCTTCAATCATTGAATCTTATTATTGCAATTCATGGACTGTTCATTTTAAAATGTTCAACATCCAGTATCACATCATTGCACTGTGACTTTTGTAAATAATTATTTTCTCGTGTATCATTTTGATTTCAATCCCGCAGTCGTCGGCTGATATCTTTTGAGCTCTTTCACAACCACTGTGGACGACCGGATTCGAGCTGTGATAGTGCCATTGATTGCATTCGTGTGTCGATGGTTTGCTGCTAATGTGTAGGCACGCACGTCTTTGCTGAAATGATATTGTTGTTGTCATGTGTGTGTGTCCTCACTACCTCTTATTTCATCATCTATAGCGAGATCATTGTATTCTATCTATACTTGCAGCTGTATTCACAGAGTTTATCGACATACCATGTTGGTGTCCTTACTGTGAAAAGGACGAGATGTGCGGTTTGTGTTCGAAATACATATCTTCTCAAACAGTAGAACCCAGATGTACCACATGTTCCCCCAATAATCCTCAAATTGCGATGTAAAATTCCATATGATTATTAATTCGCACGGGGTTATTTGGGCCCAGAGAGGGCAGAAACGAATTAAAAACGTTTTAATTTTAGACGTGTGTTGTAAATGCTGTGTCCATAGGACTTTCATAACGACCCCTCGCAAAGTGTTTTACGACATCAAGAATTTGAAATATACTTCATTTTCAATTTTTCAAAAATACGGGAGAGGGTAAAAAATTGGCCCTGTAGTAGGATTTGGGTAGGTATTGGTTAAATACTTTAGTCTGGTATAGAAGGCCTGGAATAAGACCCCCATTTTTTCAAATAGAGGCCCTTATATTGCTAATATTTAACCATAACAACAGGGTCTAAATGTATGACTCACTCTTGCGTTCTCGCAGCTGATTTCACACCATCTTTGAAAGTTGTAAACATAATATAACATAGAGCCATCTGATAACAAATAAATATATGTGCATCATATATTATATATTCTATACATAAGTGTGTATATATTATACATAACGTCTATCTATATATATGTACGTGAATAATGTATATATACAGTAAATTTGAATGATTTAAAGGCGTGTACTGAAGCCCTTTTCGGTACTTAAAGAAGCTATATTAGCGTATACAACGTACTACCAACAATACCACTATCATGTCTAAGCTTGATGATGTCAAGCACAAAGTGGAATCTCTCAGCACGTTCCTGGGATTCGCAACAGGAGGAGATGATGTTGAGTTAGAAAGGGACGGCTTATTGTACCAGGGCTTGCCTACTGAAGACCACCGCGATGATCACAACGGGCACGGGCATAGTCACGCGCACGGCGGCGGGCACAATGAGACTGATATGCATACCCCTGGTATGATTGCGAGTTTGGAATTTACCATATGATCTTGCCGTGGGATTAAAATAGATACGTCTATACTTTGTTAGTGTGTGAGAATGTATTTTTGTGTACTTTAAAAGAGATTTGTTATTAGTGTCACGTTCGGGTGCGCTTTAAAAATGCCAAGTGGTAAAGTATGTTCTCAAATATACTTCTTTAACACGATAACTTTCCTATGAGGTTATCGTTATGGTCTGTAAGGATATAGCTTCATGATTCATTCCACATATCCATGCGAAAGGTCATTTCTTGTTGTCTGTACCAATATCTATGTAAGTATATATGTGTGTGTGTGTGTGTGTTGTTTGTTTGTAAATGTGTATATATATATATGTGTGTGTGTGTGTGTGTGTGTGTGTATGTGTGTATGCGTGTGTGTGCGTGTGCATGTTTATGTATGTATATATATATATAATATATGTGTGTGTGTGTGTATTTTGCGGTATATATATGCATGTCTGTGTGTATGTGTGTGTTTTTATATATTTGTAGATATATGTTCATATTTTATTATTTGTAAATCTATGTTCATATGTTATTATTTGTAAGTCTATATTCATAAGTTGTTGATGTACCCTCACACTGATACTTGATATATGTGTGTGTATATGTGTGTATATCCATAGATATAAATTGTATCGCTGATATCCAACCCCGTGGCAGAGTTGAAGTCTAACTATTCTCCCATGAAGGACGCATATGGAAATATGATGGGCATTCTAGAGCACGCTTCCTCAGAGTAGCATTGTGCACTACTTTAGTTTGCACTTCTATACACACCGAAAATAGATCAATAGTGGCCTGTGTACATGTTGACAGTATACCACATTACTTAGATAAAATACCGAGTCCGAGGTGCATGGATATGCAGATTCGTATGTATATATGTATGTGTGTGTGTGTGTGTGTTTGTATATATATTTATAAAGTGTGTGTGTGTGTGTGTGTGTTATTTTATATATTTCTATGTATTAATATATGTATATATATATATATATCTTATATATGTCTATGTATTAATATATATATATATGTATGTATGTATGTATATAAATATACATATATCAATGTCCCTGTGAGTGTATTAGTATTTGTATTCATGTGAACGTGGTCATAAAGATGTTTTAAGTTAAGTGTACATTTATGTAGTCAACTATTTTGTTTATCAATAACACAAATATATGTGCGTTATTAGTGTGGATGTGGTAGTTTCTTCATTCATGTACATTTATTTATATATATTGCATGAATATATACATGTTTGTGTGTATGTATATATATGTGTGTGTCTGTGTCTGTGTCTGTAGGTACGCACCAGAAATTCCCAGACCACTGTTGTCGCAACCGATTGCCCATATATATATTTATATATATATATATATATTGAGAGTACTTTCTAAATGCAAAACTGATACTTCATAGTGGAATGTATGTATTATATACTGTGTATTGAAGAAGTGTAATAGCTCCTAGAAACTATGAAAACTGATCACTTCATAGTGCCTGCTTATATACGCCAGCCCACGCCCCTATGACGCCTGCGGCAAGTTAGTTCACTATGGACACTAACTGCTAGCCGAAACTATTGCGACCGTTCCGTCTGGATACTGTCGCCAACATCTACATATTTTACACTTTTCAGCTTTAAGTGTACTCTTACGTTTATTGAAGTTACAATGCCCCGTATGCGGTAACCTAGCTTTATGTATGCAAACTAACGGTTTACATAAGTTAAGCCTTTAAAATAATATTCCACTCATGCTATGTATATTATGTACATTCCCAAACCCAACATCATACACACATGTCCAAACATGAACTCAGTATAACACGTGTCACTCACCAATTACAATATTTATGTACATATAAATACCTTGATAATCGTATACTTCTATTCATATTTCAAATTTTAGAGACGTGCAATGTATATATGTGTGTGTGTATATATTTGTATTCGTTTATTTATTTCTATTTATCTATATGAATAGGTAATACAGCCTAATATAACACATTCAGACACTCTGTCACGTACATTAATCAATAAACTTATTCGTATATTAAGTTGCATGTATATCTGAATTGTTGCGCATATGCATACAACCATAGTCAGTACATGTACATGTGTAGGTCTGTGTATATGTGTATGGTGTAGGTTTTATTTATATGCATGTATGTATCCATGCATGCATGCATGTACGAGTGTATACATATGTGTACATATACCCATGGTCGCATGAAGTAAATGCTTATGTATGTAATTGCCTATTTTTGGAAAAAAAATTAACACGGGTTAGTGGTATGGGAACTGAATTTGAGAGCTCATAGTGTATCGGCTGTCTCCATATTTCAACTCAAATACGTACTTGTCAGCATACCTGATATGTGTATAAGCACATCGTTATATTCTAACACAATTGACTGTACAAGGAACTTGAATACCATCAGCATCTCGACCCGAAATCCACCCCTCTGCTCAACCTGTGCACATGCACGTATACACACACACCTCTACCCACACAGACACGCTAGAAAACGATGAAGACGACGGACACAATCCCTCCGTTGCTATGGACGTGGACATTGTCATGGCGTGTCAACGTGGCCTGCTACAACGCGTGGCCCACCTAGTCGAGACCGAAGGCGTGGATATCAACACGCCCGACCAGGAGGATGTGACTGTGTTACACTGGGCCGCTATTAACAACCGCCTGGCTGTGGTGAAGTATCTGTTGCTGAAGGGCGCCATTGTGGATGCGTTGGGGGGGCATCTGCAAAGTACCGCACTTCATTGGGCCGTGCGGCAGGGTCATTTGGAGATGTGTGTGATGCTGATGAGCCAGGGGGCCGATCCAAGGTGTGTGTGGTCGGGTGCGGGTTGACCCAGTAGGTATACGAACGATCATGGCCTATAGTGCGCGATGATAGGTACGTGTGTGGTCGGGTGAGGGTTGACCCGGTAGGTATACGAACGATCATGGCCTATAGTGCGCGATGATAGGTACGTGTGTGGTCGGGTGAGGGTTGACCCAGTAGGTATACGAACGATCATGGCCTATAGTGCGCGATGATAGGTACATGTGCGCTAGTAGCCCCGCCTGTAGTCTAAGTAGCGTTCACATAGCCTGCACTCTGGTACACACACCATATCAGTACGGCCGCACTCAGTTATGGGCGTGTGTACGTTCAACTGCCTTGTGTGGGATGGGCTCCTTGGTCGTCTGTGTGGAAGTTCAGTGGTTGTAGTCACAGACGCGACACTCCATCCCACGCCTCGTTTCCCGTCTTAACTCCATATGCTCTGTTGTCACACCCCATACTCGGTACTTATCCTGTGCCATTTCCCCAGTCCATTCGGACCTCTTATACACATTGACGGTGTAGGTATCCATCATCCGGGTGGCACCCCCAGCTATCTCCCACAACCTACCACTCACCCGCCAATCTCTCTACCCCTCTCACCTATACAGCATCCGAGACAACCAGGGCTACAACGCTCTGTTACTGGCCGCACAGTTTGGCCACAGCTCACTGTGTGCGTATTTGGTCGCGAAAGGCGTAGACATCCACTCCACCGACCCCGACGGTCGAACGTCGCTGATGTGGGCTGCGTATAGAGTGTTCACGGCCGATACAATACGCACACTGCTGGCGCTCAAGGCAGATATTGATAGACAGGTAGGCCCAGAAGCATACACGCGGGCGCGAACTTGGTGGACTCTGTGGACGAATTTGCTCTTCTTTTTTCGTTTTTCTCTTTTTTTATGTGGTTTTGGGGGGGGGTGGTATGGTATGGAGGCGTTTGTGTGTCTGCATCACTCGAGTGATAAGTTTTTATAAGTTGCTCTTCTGTGTGGGCTTGTAAGATTGAATTCTGGATATTACATACTGTTCGTGAATCGTGTAGCTGGTCTCTCTATGTGTACAGGCTTTCGTTCTGCTATAGTGTATACTATAGCCATCGATATGCTGTAGTTGTCTGTACATGGCTTTCTGCATCGGGTTGATGTGTCTCTGGCAATAGCGCATGCTGCTGTTAATTGTGCTCACGTACAAATACACTACTTGTACCGAACAGCCGGCGCCATTCCGTATCTCACCAATTAAATTTGGCCGTGATTGTTCTCACCACTGACACCTCTATAGCCCCGGGCACCGATGCAAACTTGTTTACTGTCAACCACTTATGTAACTGACAATACCAACACTCACTCACGCACACTCACTCGCACCTTCTCTCAGGACAATACTCGCAATACAGCGCTGCACTGGGCGTGCTTTAACGGCAACAGCGCCACTGTGCGTGAATTGGTGAACTCGGGGGCGCGTGTTGACCTGCGCAATGACAAGAACCAGACACCCCTGGAACTTTGTGTGGGGAGGGGGAACGACCTGATGGCTAGGTAGGTATGCTTTAGGGTTTATGGAGGTTTGGACCCATTTAAAACCCTATACCCTAGAGTATGGTGTGGCATCGTATGTTGGATGTGTATTGTTCATCTCTATCCGAATGTATCCGACAATCTCCTGTGGGCTTTGTAGGCTGCCTTGATTTATTGCGGGTTAACACTCAGTACAGAGATGGCAGATCACCTTTTGGGGGGGCGGGGGTACAGTCTTAGGATAGAAAGTTGTTATCCGTGAATTAAGCACTACCCGTAGGCCTTTAAATGTGTCTCCTCGAGAAGGTAGTGTATCTTTGTGTTCCGGAGTTGAAAAGCGCGTGACTGTGCCAGGCAAGTTTTGCGAACGTAAGGGCTCGTGTTCAGACACCTAGCCCCAAAGTGTGTGTGCATTCACCTGCCTGTCTGTACGGATACGCCAACGCAGTGCAGGCACTTATGGGCGTGGCTGTGTATTGAAGACAGTAGTTATACGATAAGGTTGCAGGACTGTGCTTCCTGTAGTGCCACGGGCTGGGTGCTTGTGATGCAGCTCTGTCAGATAGGCTCGTGTTGCGTCCGTGTAAGACCTACGACTCTACTGACAGTATTGTGTGCGGTAGTTCATCTGCTGCATCATTGTTTCTGCCGTGGTTTTTCTGCATCACTGTTTCTGCCGTGGTTTTGTAGTGACACAGTGACCCCTTTCGCCTCCCTTCTAGTCGTTTCAGATGGATGCTAATCCCCTATAATTTATCAAAAACATACATTCTACTTACAACCAGGTTTCTGCGAACTTCGTCCGGGATAGACAGTCGGCCCTGGTTACAAAAACTGTTGCAGAACAAGCGGTTGAGAACGCGTGTGCTGTGGTCCGTTCCGCTGATCTTCCTGGTCATGTTCGGGTGGTGCACACATACGTTTGCGATGCCGTATACGTTGATTGCACTCGCGTGCGTGTGGGCCTTCTGTGGCATGCTGATCAAAACGTTCTGGATCGCAGACGGTGGCAAGAACCCGTTTACCTTGGCTCTTTTCGTGCACTCGGGTGAGTGGAATATTGCTTGGGTATTCAAAATCCATGCGTGATTAGGTCTGTGTGTATCCGTTTGCGTTTATTTGCATCTACCGTCTTGCTACGTGTTGCCATGCTCGACATGATTCGGTACATACAGCCTGTTCACTTCCAAGGTGGTATGCATGCGTTTACCGATCTTACACGCCTGAACTTGGAATGATTTCGTATACACTTCGACTGACAAATATCACCTGCATATCTCACTATACACCAACAGCTTTGATACTAGGAGTGGTGGGCTTGGTATTGTTGTGGCCAGCCAACTCTGAGCGTATAGTGGTGAGTTTAACGTTCTTTGGCACATTCGCGCTGATGGTACAGAACTTTTACAAGGCTTGGAAGACAGACCCTGGGTTCATCAAGACCACGCCCGAGAAGCAACGGAGAACGATCATTGAGGTGTGTATGCCAATGCATAAGAGTGGGGAAATCCATGCGCGACTTTCTATGCTTGACTTTGTGTATCGATTAGTAGGTGTCTGGTCGTACGCGTGGTTAGTATCACCTTTGCAGCAGCCGTGGAGGATGGCTGATCACGACCTTCATTGTACACGTCGTCTGGATTGACATACAGTGTGGTGAAGTACAAGAACATTCAGCCTATGGTACCAGTCGTAGTTTAGAGGCAAGAGTTCTAGAATGCGTGTACCAGTGGGTAGTCGCCGTCCCGTGTGTTTCGGTACTAACTGCGAGTGCCTTGGGCTGATTCCTCGGACTCTTAAATCCCAAGTATCCGTTCGTTTAGATGTGGTCACATATGATCAAGCTGCTATCCCAGTAGACTGCTATTCACTTGTTGCACACGCGCACACATGCATGCATATAGTCTTCACGCACGCCCTCCCGCTACTGTGGCATAGATCATTATGAGAAACGGTTGGTGGTCGGTTCGCTTACCGACAATGGGACAATGGGTTCACAGTGCGAGTCCTCTGCTGCCGTCCGCCTATTCATCTGATTTCCTATCCGCTTATTGACTTGATATATATCCAAAGTCCAATGGCACGCGTACACCGCTATCTACCTACCTACCTACCTACCTACCTACCTACCTACAGATGGTGGAGAAAAACGCCATGGACGGTGGGCGCTTCTGCCACACGTGTCTGCTAAAGAAGCCATTGCGGTCCAAGCACTGCTCCATGTGTGGCAAGTGCGTGGCTAAGTTTGACCACCACTGCCCCTTTGTCGGCAACTGCATAGGGTCTCAGAACCACGTGTACTTCATGCACTACCTACTGTTTCTCTCTATCACGGGGTCCTGCTTTATCGACATGGCTCTGCACTGTAAGTGCTGGTGGGGGTCGATTGTTTATTGAGTGTCTGTGTGTGCTAGAAAAGACTCTAGGTTTACACCCGAAGCGTAAAAATTGGGTTACCTTTGTGTATTGCTCTTCCGTGCACGGCTGTATAGTGGTGTATAGGCACGTTGGCTAGTGCAGCCTAATTTAATTGTGGGGCTGTACTTATGTTTCTATGGTCTTTAAATGACAATGCACATTTTGTTAACGGGCTCACGTTTGTATTCAACGAGTGCCTCGCCCACGTGTGTTGATGCTGCGCAGCGGAGTGTCTATACTACCTGTCAGGCCACCTGTCAGGCCATGCGCCTGGTATCTATCTGTGTCATCATGTGCCATCGCAATTACAGATGCATACACGCGTTGTTGTAACGTGTAGCACAAGCTTAACTCCTATTCATACACACGTTGTTGTAACCCAAGCTTAACTCCTGTTCTCGACCCGCACCTGACAGACCTCCGTACCATGGTGGAACAGGTTGACGGCTACTTAAACCAATTCCTGACCTACGTCGAGCATGAGGTTGGTTTTAATTGTCTGCTACGGTTTTTCTTGTTGGACTCTTTGCCGCTTTGCCTACCTGACTATTTAGACTTCTTATTTGCCCTCCGGGTACTTGTATTGTATCTGTGTATATATATATATGTATAGTAGCTGGTGTGATTGTACCACATCTACAGTGAGTAGCCCGGCATTTGCCAAGTGTGTGCTGTTTGTGTGTCGAAGGCAGCTTACTGTCCGCTGCATGTAGTTTCTTGGGCCCTATACGGCCCACCCCTACCTCGTTTGCTCAAACTTATGTGTTATTCGCACTGCGCTATCCAACCTTTGTCGCTTCCGTTTGTGGCACTGCCTTCCGCCGCCCCATTGAGCTTGGTAGCACTTCTCAAATTGTGCCACGGATTAATTTTGACCGCAGTCTGAAATAAATTAGAGTCACATTCACATTTTTTAGGTATACATACATAAATACTTACTTCATATATCGATGCATGCATACTTCATATATCCATACATGATTCCAATGATTCTAACATATCGTATATGCACCTACCGCCTTCAGCCCGTTGCAACGGGGTCCATGATGTATGCAGGACTACAAATCTCCTGGGTAGTGGCTCTGTACCTCTCGCAAACGTACCAAGTGGGTGCCAATTTGACCACCAACGAACGTGTGCTATGGCGCAGGCTGCCATACTTACGGAACGAAAGGGTATGTGTTTCGCAAGCATGTGCGTGTGAGTACAGCCATTCCGAAGGAGCAGGGATATGTCTTCAACACAAAAGTTCGCAAAGCATAATCTATTCCGGTGTCCGGACATCTCTGTGTAGGTCTTGCTTAGTTCGAGCGTGCTTTCATACCCACGACTTCCTATCAAGCCCTAACCTCATTCATCTCGTTCTGCACCCTCCGTCCACCACTATAGGGCAAGTACAGCAACGCCTTCAGTCGCGGAGTCTTTCTGAACTTTGTCGACTTTTACAACGGCATGCATTTCTGGAGAAAACAGGTTCAACATGCCGACTGGACTACCATCACCGAGGTATGGTAATGGTCGTATACTGCACTGCTATCAGCGCACGAACAAACAGTAGTATTAGTATGTAATTATCTATTGTCTAATATCTACTCCCACAGTATATGGGTGTGCTATTGACACTGGATGTCGCTGAAGACGCCCTATCCCTCTCCTCTTATTACTTCCGAATTCATACCCGGTTTCATTCATAGCCAAGCTGTATCGTTCTAGCCACATGTGTGTCTTCGTACTCGTTGCTCAGTAAGCTGGGAATTAATCACAGGTACTGTTGCCATTTCTACATCCTCGCAGGTTCATGAGAGCGCAGAAATGGGCGAATTTGAAATGGCGTAGATATCATTTAACAGTTGATTATCACACAACCCCTCTGGTGGTGTTTCTAACTTTCGGCTGGGGTGAGCCTCTTCTTGCTGCAGAATTTAGGAGTTGGTACCAGGGTGTCGTGTTAGCTCTGGTCTGTTTTGATGGATTTCAATTCAGTCCCACATTTCAAATTTGATGCAAATTGGGAGATACCCTGGAATCGATGGTGATAGACTATTTCATGTATATGTACACGCGCCGTTGCTACTGTTCTGTGAGTCCTATGCTTGGCTTGCAGGCCGTGTTTGTCGCATACACGGGATTGTTTGAGTGTCAGTGCGAGCGTCTGTAGTGCGATGACCGTCATGCTGAGCTTGTAGTCAGTGGTTCTGCTTAGCTCGAGGTCGGCGTGGCCTTTCGTGCAGTATGCGACCAGGGACTCTATACATAACCCCGAGGGCCTGTAGAGACTACTGGTGCCCTTGGCGGTGCTGCAGGTTATCTGCACGCGCTTGCTTGGTAGTTTGTCGTTGTTGTTGAGCCCCTCTGCCTCGTCGGCCTGTGATCGCAGATCCAGTTGGTATCCAACTTAACCATGACCTTGGCGGCAACACGGCCAGGCATTGGTCAAAGCAGTGGGCCGTGCGCCTTAGGCACATGTCCCTTTAGTGTGTTTTGTTCGAGCCTTGCACGACTCCATCTTGCGCTTTCCGGCCGATGCTGGGCCTGTCATTCTGGTGGTAGTCTAGTTTTGCACACCATTGTCTCGAATCGCCGTTTGGATGGCGGTGGCGACCAACGTCATGACTGGCCGGCACCGGTGCCCTTGTTCTGGTGCAACTGAACCGCGTTGGCCAACTCTGTGCAGAGCTTGCGCATGTTGGTTGGTAGGCGTGCCCTACGAGGATGTTGTTGCCTGCTGGTGGTACGTGTCGGCGTTGTGTATCATGCACGACGAACACTTGTACTTTGTGCAGGACGCACTTTGAAAGAGGCCACACCCGTGTCGGCCAGAACAGAGCGATCCATGTATCAACTTGCACTCTCGGCAGTCATTATCATTCTAGTAAGGAAAAAGTGGTCTTCGAAAAGTTGGAACTTCAAACTTCAAATTCAGCGACACAATGCAAACAGCGTCGCGATCGGAACAAGGTTGGTGAGGCGTCGGGCGTGGCCCTGAATGCCACGACCACGGGCTTATTTGTTGATCCTGTGCGGACCGTGAATCTGTGGAAGAAAGTAGTATACTACGTTTCTACCATCACAGGGCGTGCGTGGTAGGATAACAGATGCTGGAACATGAGATTTTCATGTTTATTACACTGCAGCAGATGCTAACATTGTAGGACATTAGAGACGAAACTGTTCTCGGGAAACTCTGGGCCGTTGATGGCATACCCGCGCTCAGGCCCGAGTGGTACACTAAACACGCGTGTGTCTCCATAGAACAGTGTCGTGTAGATACGGATAACATTTTCCTCAAACTCGTCAGGGCGCTTGGCTTCTTTTTGTTCCTTACAGTGCATGGAAATAAACTTGGTTTCGCTATTTGTAGCGTTCTCTCCCTGGGCAATTTGTTGTTTCCTTGGCTGTGGGACTTTTGGTGGTTTATTTGCAAGTTGTTGTGAAGCACTTGCAAGACCTAGCTTACGGTCCAACTTTCTTGAATACCCCTGCCCGTTGCGTTCTCTCCATAGACAATATGTTGTTTGCGTGCCTGTTGAGTTTTTATTTCCAAGTTGTTGTGGAGCATTTGCAAGCCCTAGCTTGATCAGATGCAATGGAAACTGATTAAAACGGAAATCAGACTACGAGAGATGACAATAAATAGTATATTGTACTATATAATGCACAACCTGTTATATTGAACACTAATGTTAGAAACAATTTTTCTGGTAATGTATTGTTTGCTGTAACCAGAACCACCCTCAAAAATATACATCTGGAGTTAAACAACGTATCAGTCTGACTTGGCCGCAGAACCCCTGGGAATATATCTCGCTCTTATTGTTCAGTATGTTGGTGACAGCAAAACGAAAAGGCAAGCACCGAATAAACATCAGTGCTATCTGTGACGACACACCATGCAAAACTTGAAAGACGGGGTGCATTCTTGAGTCACAAACGAGGATCTTTTCGATAAACGTTCACAAAGATCTTTTCAATGAATGTTCACAAATTGAAAAGCGGTATGTTATGGGCTTCAATGGTGGATCAAGAAATATTGAGAAAAAAATCTTACTTATATGCGGATGAATAAACTTGTCTCGTTCCGCACTATCTTGGGCATTTTGTTACATAAGTCAATGACGCTGCCATAATAGGCGCATATCTCACATAGCCCAGATGACAGGTGAAAACATACAAACAACAGAGTCCTTCGGGTTGCTGGCCACGAACATCCATTCAACGTCCTCGGGTGCACGTTTCGCAACTGACTCAGTTAATTGGTCAATTGAAGATTTAGAAATATTTTCTACTCACTAGCGTGAAAGTGATTTTAAAATGTGGTGGTCTCAATTTTTATACAGATATCGGAAAAGTTAGAATCTTATTGCTGGTTCAAGCTAATTCAAAGCGAGGGCCACACGCAATGTACGGAGAAACCGCGGACAAATCGAGCAGAGGCATGTAGCGCTTCACACAGCTCGTCGTGATATAATATTTGTCATATATGCAGCAACGTAGAAGTTCTGGCAATTTAGAGGCACCTATTCTGAGTGAGAGCTGTGACAAGCTTGCTATGATATGCGTCACCCAGAATTCTTTGGTTGCTGCACACCCTTTCCTGCGCGACATTCAGTACCGCCTTAAGTTCATGTCAGATGCCTGTAAAAATATCTACGCGTGTTTATTAGTTATCAGGAAAATGTTTCATTCTTGTTCAAATGCCCGTCTTTTTTTTATCAGAAAGTACAACCTCAACCACGTCGCTATTCGGGATACGAATACAGTTAGGTTTTCTGCACTGGAAGCTTGAGTATGATGAAGATTTTACGGATCACATCGTAAGACAACACGTGTTTGATATTGCAGACTCTGCCTGTGAATTGGGGGACTTTTTATATCAGGTGCATTGATGGCGACTAGTAGGCCTGGCTTTAAGCTCGCAGTTATTTTAATCTTTGATTCCACTTTCATAACGATGTGTAGGTATTATTCGGTCGATCAATAATATACACCTGTATATACCTCAATTGTGTTCTATTAGAAAGTAGCCACCTCGTTTTGGCCTAGGTTTATGCTGTTATTTTGTTTACTACTCAACGTTTGAACACATGAGCTATTTGTCCTAAATGCCCTGACCAGAAATGCAGCACCTATTTTACTCCCCACACCAATAGTAGAGAGCGTTTTCAGCCGTCTTCACATGTTTTGGCTGCGGTGCCTCCATTGTCATCAACTCACTTATCTTGGCCATCCCAGAGCGCTGTATTGCTAGACTAGCTCTCCATCGCACCCGAGGCGCATGTACTTCTGCGAGTGCATCCTCCAGTGTAGAGATGCGAAAATGCACCTTTAATATTCTAGTTTGAACATAAGTGAGGTACTGTCTCACTACAGAATCGCCTGTGCTTTTAGGATCAATAGTCCTATAACAGTATCTATTTTTAGCACAGGTTTCCAAAGTGGGGATAAGGGAAGGTTTAAAACATACTACAGCGCTGCAACAACTGCACCATGACGGATAGGTGCGCAGTAGAATACTGTTTGGATTTTATTACGTTAGACAACCCAGGGCACCGCATACCTGAGAAACCATCTGGATGATTAAATTAGGGCGATACAAAAGGAAAGCTAAAACCCTAAAAACCCTAAAGCAAATTATGTACGTAACATTTCAACCCCAAATGTTTTATAAAGCGTAATAAGTTGTACAAGCTGACGATAGATGCTGTTCTTATGACTATAGCTGAATACGGACGCCTGTAGTCAAAATTTAAACAACAAAAACCCCTGAAAATTCAGGAGCAGTTTATTAGGGGAATCTCTTATATGTGATCAAAGTACAAGATGCAAATGTTCCGTTGCTACGCGAAAGCATGTGTATTAATATTTTGTGATATCTGATAAAAGTCATAAGGCACAATCCAAATTGTCTGAGCTGTGCCATCACTTAGATGCCCTGACAATTTCGCTAACCAATGTTGTAAAGCAACTAGATAATGATGATCTTACAGTAAAAGAAACTGCGTGTAGTTGGCTTAAAAGCGAAGGAAGAAATTAAGAAGCTCTCAAGGGAAACAACCTTTTTCAGGCAATAGATGATATGCAACAAGAGAAGTGAGGCATTTCTATTTCCTTAAAACAAGGGTTTACAAACTTTTGCATATCAATATACACAGTGCATACGAGAGGCAGTCAGTTACTGGACTGGCTTTCAAACCGTAGCAAAGTTTATGACCTTTATGGAGCAAGTATAGAACAGGCAGAAACCTTCGAGAATGCAATAGTGATGTGATTTGCACGGGTTCGACACGATTTGGAGCGAGGTGTGGTGATACAACTCTTTGTAATCTGCTGTACTCAACCAATATCAAATATATCAAACGGCGAAAATTTCGCTATGTATGCATACTTCAGGCACCCTGTGCATGATATGATCAGTCTTCGGATTATCCAAGAACTGCGCTTGTCGTTGATTGTACAAAGTATTTCATGGAAACTTCCTCTAAACATGACATTCAAATAAATGATGTCCTGTTCTACCTTTTTAATTATGTAGCCGCGCCAAAGAAATACAATATAGTACTATTCCCTTCAATTCTAAATACAACGACATACATATTTAGTGAATCCATCAGGTAGTGGAGTCACACCATAAGCCTCGAGAGTTTGTTCTTCATTACCTCGGGGCTGTATTCACCCGAGCAATATGTAAACTTGACGCTATCATCTATCTTAGCTCCAGCAATACCTTTTTATCTAATACAACAATCATCGTCTCTTCTATATGATATCAAACCCCCAAGCACTTATTAAGTTAAACGACGCTGATTTCGTTATGTATGTATACTTCAGGCACCCTGCGTATGATCGAATTAGACTTCTCGGTGAGGAAATTAATAACAACCTTCTCCTACCATTGTACTTCGATGTGGACTATTTAAAAACTGCACTTATTGTTGACTGTACAGATTATTTCATGGAAACTTCATCTAATCTCGACATTCAAAGAAATGCTGTTCTGTTCTGCCGTTTTATTATGTAGCCGCGCCAAAGAAAAACAACATAGTATTATTCCCTGTAAATAGAAAATGGACCACTTTATCTTAGGTACATTGACATACGTATTTACAGAATCTATCAGGTAGTAGAGTCACACCAAAAGCCTAGAGAATTTGTTCTTCTTTGTCTTGGGGTTGTACTCACCCAAACGATATGTAAGTTTGATGCTATAATCTATCTAGGTTTCACCAATATCTTTTTATCTAATGCAAGCATCATCTTCTCCTTCTAACTGATTTAATCCCTCAAGCACTTCTGAATGGTTTTAGTGCTTGCCGAAAAGACACTTCACACAGTCAGCATTTATCCGAGGTAAGACAAGAGTGTAGTGCATTCAGTATCCTTTATCTTCATGCACGATATCGGGATTACTATGATGCATCTGTAGGTCAAACGATCAATGCAAACGCGGTGTATTGGTCTGTTTTTGTGATGTAGGTGACGCGTGTAGTCACAACGCAAGAAACGATTCATCGTTCATCTACTTACTAATGTAGAAATACGGCCT